GAAAGGGAAATGACAAAAAGAGGATCATTTTTGTTCTCTTTCCTTTTTTTTTTTTTTTTTTTTTTTTTGGAGAGAGCCAGAGTCTCAGCTTTGTATGCGCAGGCTAGAGTGAGTGCCGTGGCGTCAGCCTAGCTCACAGCAACCTCAAAACTCCTGGGCTCGAGGATCCTTCTGCCTCAAGCCTCCCGGGTAGCTGGGACTACAGGCATGCGCCACCATGCCCGGCATTTTTTTTATATATATATTCAGTTGGCCAATTAATTTCTTTGTATTTATAGTAGAGACCGGGGTCTCACTCTTGCTCAGGCTGGTTTCGAACCTCCTGACCCTTGAGGAATCCGCCCGCCTCCCTCCCAAGAGCTAGGATTACAGGCGTGAGCCACAGGCCGCCCGGCCTGTTCTCCTGGGCTTTTTGTTTGTCTTGCCTCGAATTGGCTGTAGAAGATTTGTGTACGCAGGATTTTGGTTGAGTCGCTCGCAAAGAATGCAGGGCCTGTTGTCTGGTTCCATTTATTTTTTCATTGTTTATATTCTAGTTTTCTGTTTCATGTTGATCGTGCAGAGCTCAGGGAGACCTTGTCACTATTTTGTTCTTTTGTTGTTGTACTGTTGGGTTCCAGTTTGCGTAATTTTGGAGGGAAAGAGATGATATTTCTGTAGAATCTACACATATGAAAAGGATAATAAGGGAATATTGTGAACACCTTATGCCAATGAATTTGACAACTTAGATGAGAAATGGACAAATGCATTAAAAGATGCAAACTCCAGCAGCTCACTCAAGAAGAAACAGACACTCAGGAAACGCAGAATGGCAATGGTTGCACAACAGTGTGGATGCACTTAAAGCCGCTGTACTGTGTACTTATAAATGGCTAAAATAGCCAATTTTATGTTATATATATTTTGCCACAACAAGAAAGAAGAAATAGATAGGCTAAATATCCCTGTGTCTATCTCTTAAAGTTACATTTATAATTAACAATCTTCCCACAAGGAATCTCCAGGCTCAAGTTCATAAGCTTCACTTGTGAATTCTACCAAACATTAAGAAATGATACCAATTTTACACAAACTCTTGCAGAAACTTGAAGAGAGAATACTTTTCAACTTATGCTGTGAGGCGGGCATTACTATCAACAAGAAAAGAAAATTACATACCAATATACCTACCTCATCCATATATATGTGAAAATTCTAAAAAAGTTGGCCAGATTCAACAATATATAAAAAAGGACAATATATTATAACCAAATGAGGTTTATCCGAGTAATATAAATTGGTATAACATCTTTATTTTTATTTTTGGAGACAGAGTCTTATTCTATTGCTTGCACTAGAGTACAGTGGTGTCATTATAGCTCACAGCAACCTCAAACTCCTGGGCTCAGGTGATCCTTCTATCTCACTCTCATGAGTAGCTGGGCCTACAAGCATGTGCTGCCATGTCCACCTAATTTTTCTATTTTTTTTTTCTTTCTTTTGTTTTGGTAAAGATAGAGTCTGGCTATGTTGCTCAGGCTAGTCTCAAACTCCTGGCCTCAAGCAATCCTCCCACCTTTGCCTCCCAAAGTGCTAGGATTAGAGGAATAAACCACCACACCCAGCCTTATTTGACGTTTAAAAATCAATTTATGACCGGGCGAGGTGGCTCACGCTTATAATCCTAGCACTCTGGAAGGCCGAGGCAGGCGGATTGCTCGAAGTCAGAAGTTCGAAACCAGCCTAAGCAAGAGTGAGACCCCCGTCTCTACTATAAATAGAGAGAAATTAATTGGCCAACTAATATATATAGAAAAAAATTAGCCGGGCGTGGTGGTGCGTGCCTGTAGTCCCAGCTACTCGGGAGGCTGAGCCAGGAGGATTGCTTGAGCCCAGGAGTTTGAGATTGCTGTGAGCTAGGCTGATGCCATGGCACTCACTCTAGCTGGACAAAAAGTGAGACTCTGTCTCAAAAAAAAAAAATATAATAGGTCAGAAATTAACCACCAGAGAGCACCTTCTCCCCTTCCAGAAATTCATGGAGTAAGAAATTTACACAGACACCTTCAATCGCTCCTGCAATTACTGCACACTTTTCAGGGCTTACTCTTGTAGTAGGCCCTGAGTCTGATGGGTTAACTAAAGTTAAAAACGTAGGTGGCAGCACTTGGGAAGCTGAGGCAGGAGGATTGCTCAAGGTCAGGAGTTCGAAACCAGCCTGAGCAAGAGGGAGACCCCATCTCTACTAAAAATAGAAAGAAATTAATTGGCCAACTAAAAAATATATACAAAAGATTAGCTGGGCATGGTGGCACATGCCTGTAGTCCCAGCTACTCGGGAGGCTGAGGCAGAAGGATCGCTTGAGCCCAGGATTTTGAGGTTGCTGTGAGCTAGGCTGATGCCACGGCACTCTAGCCCAGACAACAGAGTAAGACTCTGTCTCAAAAAAAAAAAAAAAAAAAAAATGTAGGTTGGACAGCTCGGTTTGTCACACTGAAGATGACACTGATGATTTGAATTGGGCTTTCAGGCATGAGTAGGATTTTGCCAGAAGAGGGCTTTCCCGGTATGAGAAATAGCACGGAGGCACAAAAGGGTTTGTTGTGCTCTAGGGTGGCTTGAGCTTGGGGCAAGGGATAGAGGGTTGGATGCCAAGTAATGAAAAACAATGCCAGAGGTCA